CGGGGGCCCCCGCCCCCAGCAGCTACGTGTGGAACTAGATGCAGCAGGCCCCAGGCCAGGGGCTGGAGTGGATGGGATACTGGACCGGGAGCACAAGCTACAACCCGTCCCTGCAAGGTCGCATCACCATCACCGTGGATTCCTCCAGCACCAAGTATTATCTGCGGCTCAGCGCGCTGACAGCTGCAGACACCGCCACGTATTTCTGTGCCAGACACACAGTGACACGGAGCGAAGCAGGGACCCGCACAAAAAGGGGAAGCGGATTCTGAGCAGGGCAGTGAAGCCAGAGCAGCGGGGAGAGCTGAGCCCAGAGCCCCTCCCCGCCCCACACGGACGCTGACAGGGCTGGGGCCCCTCCATCAGGGAGCAGCGCGAGCCCACCCACCTCCCGGAGCAACACCAACATTTAAGAAGACGGCGGTTTCGAGTTACACCTTGACATCACTGTCAGGGTGGCTGAGCGGTCTAAGGCGGCCCACTTGAGTCCATTTTCCCCAGGAGTGAGTGTTCTGGTCTCTAAAATTAGGCGTGGGATCAAATCCCACCCCTGCCAGGCTTTTCCCTCTGAGTGGAGAAGCGACCTCATTTCATTGTCTCCCCTAAGCACGTACTTAAGGCTTCCGTAGGAGTAGCGACAAGAAAAGTTGGAGATATTTCAAATATCTTCTGCAACTGCCCATTTAGGGCATCTATATGAGTACATTTTGCTTTCTCATGGAGTAGGGCTGGAAGTCTTGATGGAAATGGAGAAGGGCATTGGAAACAGCTTGAGGGCTATGTCTACACTGGTGGCTCCTTGCGCAAAAGCGGCTGCTCCTGCGCAATAATCCGCAGTGCATCCACACTGCCCACCCGCTACTGTGCAAGAAGATTTATAGTTCTGGCGTGGTAAGAGACGGCTTCTTGCGCAAGGGCTACACTCTTTTCTTACATGTGTAAGCTCTCTTGCGCAAGACCTCTTGCCAAGATAGCGTCCACTTGTAAGAAAAGACCATAGCTCTAGCGCAAGAAGCCGTCTCTTACCGCCAGAACTGTAACTCTTCTTGCGCAGGAGCGGGTGGGCAGTGTGGATGCACTGCGGATTATTGCGCAGGAACAGCTGTTCTTGCGCAAGGAGCCACCAGTATAGGCATAGCAAGGGGTTGTCTTGGATCATAAACTAAAACACTCAAATGCCTCTTTGCAGCTGGGTGCTATGAGTTACCTGGCTAACGCGCTTCCCTAATAAGCAGGACTTTTGGGTTCAACTCCCAGTGATGCCTTTTTGCGGCCTTTCCTCTTCTGTTCTCACCTTTTCTAGTGCCCTTCTGGGAAACAGAGGAGGCCTCCACTGGCCACCCAAGTAATGGCTTGTTGGGGAGGAGCATTGGGGAGAATTAAATCCAGCTGGGTGCTATGAGTTACCTGGCTAACGCGCTTCCCTAATAAGCAGGACTTTTGGGTTCAACTCCCAGTGATGCCTTTTTGCGGCCTTTCCTCTTCTGTTCTCACCTTTTCTAGTGCCCTTCTGGGAAACAGAGGAGGCCTCCACTGGCCACCCAAGTAATGGCTTGTTGGGGAGGAGCATTGGGGAGAATTAAATCGAAACCACAGGCTTGGGGCTAATGAAGAGGCTCCTGGGACTGGCTTTGGGAAGGCAGCTGTCCTGACTCCAAGTGCTGAGTCATGATAAGACCCCACAAGCCCCTGTGATTCCCTAGGGGTGTCAGTGCCCAGGCACCCTCGAAGCGCAGCCTCTGCAGGTCGGGCAGCGATGGAGAGTTACTCTCCTCTCGCCTCCCTTTGGATGGTCAATGGGAACATATGGAAGAAAAGTCCCAGAGGGCGGGCGGCACCAGGGCTAAGCTGCCCAAGGCACCTGCCAGGCGAG